TTTTTTTTTTTAATCCAAACAGGCTGTGCCCTTGGTTTGGAGTGAAGACTGTGAATACTGATGAGGATGTTGAATAAAAATGCGTACATTGTGCAGCCATTGACAGGGCTTTTAGAAAAGGAACTGATTATAGTAATGGTCTCAAGATATCTTTCTGGGATGTCAAAAGAAATTGAGCCATGTTTCAGGCCAGTTGCAAACCTAATTTAAACAATTTGTGTGGATGGTCAGGGCTAGTCTTAAGGTTCTGCATCCGACCCTGATTTCAACTTGGTGTTCATTCATGTTGCCATTTTTAAAGGCTTTTTTCCTTGCAGCTGCTCTAAAAGTTCACATCAAACACAACTTTATCCCCTGGAGAATGTAGAAACTGATTGCAGCCTTTTGAAAGAAGACATTTGTGATGAGATCCCTTACCTGTAGTTACTACAGGTCTTCTGGTGTTGTGTTAACCTTGCACATCTGAATGTAGCTGTCTGGATGTTGGCTACAGAGCATTAGCTGCGATTTAGTTTAAAAAAAAAAAAAAGATGTGATCTGGCATCAAAGGCTTTCAGTTATGCTCAGAAAGAAATTTGTCTTCCTGGGTTTGATATGGCCATGGCTCTCCTCTGCCTGGGAAACTCTGCTATCTGCACCATGTCATTTTGAAGCATGGCAAACTTGCAAGTTACTGAAAATCTCAAATGCCAGCCACCAGACACAGCCCCCCCTCCCCCATATTCTGCCCTCCTTTATGCTCCTTTCCTTGAGTTTACCCAGGCAATGGCAAATGACGGTATAATTTGAGAACAACAGAGTTGCAGAGCTCAGATTGTGGAGATGATGATGTCCAGGGCATAGAGAACTCGGCTTGACTCCTGCATTCTGTTTGCAGAACTAGGAATTGGCAAGAAGTCTCTCTCTGCTTGTCTGTGGAACGTGTATGATACAGAAATACTGAGAAAAATAAATTTAGGACTCTGAATCCCCTTTACCTGCATTGCTCCACGGAGCAGATCTGCTTGCTGCTTTTAACATTGGCAGTTCTGTCACGTGGGTGGCCAGAGGAGTTGGGGAGGAAGAGGAAATGCACCCTATACTATACACGGCCAGTGCTATAACAGTTTCCATCTCCCACAAGTGCAGAGAAGGGCATGTTACATAACAAGGTACACCTGAGTAATAAGGGGACAAGCCATTCCCATGGACACATACTTGAGCAAACTACACGGTCATTGTTTCGGGAGTCTGGGCCACTTACTATTTAAGGCCGCTTGCCCTAAATCAACCTGGGCAGGAAACCAACTGAGACCGTCCTGCAAAGTTTCTAACTTCTGCATGATGATTAATCCAAAGTGACCTGTTGCTTAACACAGCTGTGCTGCACAGATGACCCTGTTAAAGTGTAGCTACTAGGAATGTTTTGTGCTTTGAACATCTCTCTTCTTGCAGAGGGATCTATCTGGACACAAGAATATTGTCGGATACATCGATTCGAGTATAAATTCAGTGAGCAGTGGTGATGTATGGGAAGTTCTGATTCTCATGGACTTTTGCCGAGGTAAGTGTGAGCTCAATATATTGCTGATTTTTGGATGATTTATTCTTGCAGGAAACTTGGTTTTCCTGCAGGAAAATATTTGTTGGCTCAGCCCTTCCTTAACATCCAGTGAATAATTTCCAGCCTAGCTGCTCAAGAAACCTGCGTCAAGCTTAAATGCAAAGAGACGTTAAAGGGTACACGAGAAGAAAGCGTGGCCGCCCAAAGAACTGCTAGCACCTCCTTCCATAAGCCAAGAAACTTCTAGGTCCCTACACTCCATGGTTCTGATACTACTTGTTTTCACTGACTGCTTCCAAATGGAATAAACTGTCTTAATTTTTCTTTTCTTATTGCTGGTTTCAATCTCTGCATACCTCTGCTCGATCTGGGGGTTTCATTAGATGTTCCAAATCAATGTTCTTCAGCAAAAAAATATTCTCTTCACCTCTGTTCCCTGGTCTGCCGAGATGCTGACCAACAAAACCTTCCAGACCCAACTTAACAGTGAGGTTTTCCATCTGTTCAGAAGCTTTGATCTCTTTGTGAGGAGAATCATTTGAAGATGTGGGATTTAGAAGTTGACTCATGCACTGTGTTCAAATGGGTCTCGCAGGAGGATGAGAGCACAACATTAAGCAAAGAGGAATTGCACCTTGGGACCTGGTGACCCCACAACTCTGAGGCTGTTGGAAGCAACTGATAGGAATAAGTGTTATTGGCCTAGCCAAGGGCTTCCCATCAGTGTCAAAGGGGCTTATAATAGTTCTTCAGACAGGCATAGCATATTCTCACGTGCAGTCAACTTCCTTCCACGTTTTATTTGGTACAGGATTTTTGACTGGCTTGGTTAGGAATAATTCACTGAGGTGAAGGAAGGGTTGGGCCTATGAGGAGCTTTCCGAAAGGAAATATTGCGCTGCTTTCCTTCACGTATATTCCCAAAGCTTGTGGGGAGCATTGTAGGGAAGAGGCCAGTCAAAGCCAATTTTCCCTGTATCCCTCAGTCTATAAAAAATCATGCAGGTACCTCTGGGAGGCAGAAAGACCTCAGGCTTTCCAGCTGACATCTCTGATTTATGCCTCGGTTCCTGCGAGGATAGTGTTGGCTTGGTTTCTAAGGCATCACCTCTCTTAACTGCACAATAGGGAAGTTTAAGAGAGTTCTTCATCAAGTACAGTACCTTGATGTTGCCACACTCTGAACAACCTAATAATTGGCTGATGAGCCTGTTGAACACCAGTGCTATTTCTGTTTTTTACTTTCGGTGTTTAGACTGAGTCTGAAGCAGCTTTATGAAAGTTTAAGCTGGTTAATGGACTTGTGCCTGGTTTGTAATAGATGCTCAAAGGTTGCCCTGTATTTGAAACCTTGATCCAAATGCCACATAATGCTCTGAAGGAGATTGACTTGAAAGTACCTAACTTCATCTCCTTTGGGTGGCTAAACAGTTCTAAACATTTTAGATCAAATTTTATGAAAATATCAGATTTCCTGCTGTTGCTGCCTTCCTCCATGGCAGAGATAGCAAATGATGTTATTCATTCTGCCTTCATCAGCAGAGACTGTGCTTCAGTGTAAGCACACAGATAGCCATGGCATTTAGCTTGGTTGTATAGTATACTTAAGTTAGAGAGATGCTTTAATTCCTTCTAATATTCATACCTAAATGATGCTGGTTTCTTTTTTCTATAATTTTTTTTTCTTGCTGTGTTTAATTTTCCAAAGGGACTGCTGAGTCTTTTGGCTGCTTAAGCTGAGATGCCTGAAAATGGCTTTTTTTTCTTTTTGTTTTTGTTTTCTTTCTTTTCCAGAGGGTGTGTATACAGACTAAGCTGGGACACCAACAATTGTGTGATCTTTTGCACCAAGTCTTTCTCTTAACACTCCCCTCTATACCAATATTGTGAAGCAGATGGTAGGAGCACAGCTTTGGTTTTTTTGTGGGGAGGTCTTTTATTCCTCCTCCTCAATCTAGCCTGCATGTACCAACAGGGTAGCAGGTATCGAAGACTAAAACTGTTAGTTTGATCTGGCAAGATTACTCTTATATTTCCCAAGGGAAGAAAAGAACTTGGTTTACGCAAAAATACGTTCGGACATCATCATTTTTACTTGGAGTATGTGAGGGCCTCGGAGGAAATTTCAGATCTTGGCAGGCTAAAATCTTCAAGCACTTTCCAAACCTGAATTGTCATGTCGGGTTTTATGATAGATACGCAAGATGCTCATTTTTTACCGAGTGGGAGGGAAGTGAAGCCGAGATGTCTAAGTAGGATGCCAGAAGTCACAGAGGAGAAGAGAGGCTTTGTCTAGCCTGGAACTGGAACAGTAGAGTCCTACCTCTCTAAATACTGCTAAAACAAGGTGTATTGGTGAAGGCACTAGATCCTAGCTCCACTGCTTCCAGCTGGGGAGGTCTTGTACATTGAGTGCTGCTTAGATGTGTACTGAGCTGGTATCAACATGGTTTAGGATGCTTTGGAGAACCTAACTTCGTGTGACCAGTGCATCTTGGCTGCATCAGATCAGATTTCATTTTTGCCCTGCTTATCTTCCAGGGGGCCAAGTGGTGAATCTCATGAACCAACGCTTGCAGACTGGCTTCACGGAGAGTGAGGTCCTGCAAATCTTCTGCGATACCTGTGAAGCCGTAGCCAGACTGCACCAGTGTAAAACGCCAATTATTCACAGGGATCTGAAGGTAACTCCCAGAGACTGGTTGTAGGGGGTGGAGCTGTTTGGGTAGCTTATTCTGCTGTGAGCCTTCGGGAGACAGGATTGTCTGTTCTCTGGATAGTGCCCAGCAGAGTGGAGCCTCACCATGGACACTGTTTTAAGGTTTCTGTTGTTAGTAGGCAGAAAAATGTATTCAGGAATAAATTTGCCTATTAAAGGCAAATTAAAGGAGAGAGGAGGAAAAAAATCCACTGCTTGCCAGATGTTTATTGATCTGTTTCAATAATGCAGCCCTTTGTGAATAAATATTTCCCCCCAAATCTGCCAAAATTCATCAGATGAATTATCCACAATGAATTCCAACCAGGAGCAGCAGAGATCAGCTCATGGGCTCCACACTTCGGCCTGTCCCCTGAGTACTTATGTAACATACTGTGAAAGACTGTAGACTAGAGGTGGGGATTTTTGTAAGTGCTCCACATTAGTAGCTTAAGTTGCTGCCTGCTGGGTGCATCTACATGAGACATTTACTGCAAAGCTAATTAACTCCTCAGTAATGTATTAGTGTCTACATGTTCAGTGCTATTAGGCCAGAGTAAACTAATTAACTCTGCCATAGGACAGTACTGCCCAACACAAGTGCTGTCCTATAGCAGAGTTATTTGCTTCTCTGCATTACACATGTAGACAGTGACCAGGGCTGGCTGGAGCACGAGGGTGCTTCAGCGCAGTGCTGCCTGCCAGCTAGCTCGGCGCTGTAGCATCCTTATGCCCCAGCCAGCCCCACTGCAGCACGTTGAGCCAGGTCAAAGCAGCCCTGGGCTGGCAGGTTTACCTCTGGGCTGTGCTGGTCTGGCTCAACATGCTGTGGTCCCGAGTGCACATGTAAATGCTGCACCCAGGAACAATAAACTCTGACACAAACTGCACTGGAGCTTGTATCAAAGTTTTACGTGTAGATTCAGCCATTGAAGCCCATGGTGAGAATTTTTTTTAACAGTGGTAAGAGTAGATTTGGGCCAATCATGAAGGCTGTGGAAAAATCCTATTCTGAAATAATGAACCAGAAGATAGTTTTATAGTTGGTAGGGTTGGAAGGGACTTGAGCAGATCATTATGTCTGACCCCCTGCCATGGGCAGGAATGAATGCTGGGATCAAGTGACCCCAGCTAGGTGCTTATCAAGCCTCCTTTTGAAGACCCCCAAGGTAGGAGCCAGCACCACTTCTCTTGGAAGTTGGTTCCAGATCCTAGCCGCCCTGACCGTGAAGTAGTGCCTCCTGATGTCTAGCCTGAACCTACTCGCAATCAACTTGTGGCCGTTATTCCTAGTTACTCCGGGTAGTGCTCGGGGGAACAGGGCCTCCCATTCCCCACTGGTCCCCCCGGTAAGTTTATAGACAGCCACTAGATCCCCTCTCAGCCTTCTCTTGTGGAGGCTGAACAGGTTCAGGTCCTGTAGCCCCTCCTTGTAGGGCCTGCCCTGCTGCCCCCGATCATGCGAGTGACCTCCTCTGGACCCTCTCGATGCTGTCTACATCCCTCCAGAAGTGCGGTGCCCAGAACTGGACGCAGTACTCCAGCTGCGGCCTGACCAGTGTCGCATAGAGGGGGAGGATCACCTCCCTGGACCTGCTTGAGATGCATCTGTGGATGCATGATAAGGTGTGGTTAGCCTTACTGACCTCACATTGGCCGTCCATGTTCATCCTGGTATCAGTGATGACTCCAAGATCCTTTCCTGCCTCTGTGCTGACGAGAAGGGAGTTCCCCAGCCTGTTTGTATGCTGCTGGTTCTTCCGCCCTAGATGCAGTACCTTGCATTTGTTTGTATTAAATCCCATCCTATTCTCATCCGCCCACTCCTTTAACCTCTCCAGATCTAGTTGTGTCCTGTCCCTCCATTCTAGTGTGCCCACTTCCCCCCACATCTTTGTTCAAATTCGCAGACGAAACTAAATGCTTTTCGCCCCCTCGTCCAAGTCGCAGATGAAGATGTTGAACAGTGCAGGCCCGAGGACCAAGCCCTGGGGGACCCCACTGCCCACATCCCTCCAGGTCGAAAATGACCCGTCCACCACCACTCTCCGGGTGCTGCCCTCCAGCCAGTTGGTGACCCATCTGACTTGCAGGCATCGATGCCACAGTCACCTAGTTTTTAATGAGAATGGCATAAGAGACTGTATCAAAGGCCTTCCTAAATTCCAGAAAGACTATGTCCACCGCGACACCCGTGTCCAAGGGTTTTGTGACCTGATTGTAAAAGGCCACCAGGTTGGTCTGACAGGACTTGCCTCTAATGTTGGTTGCCCATGTTGGTTGCCCCTGAGCACAGTCTCCCCTGCTGGTCCCTCACAGATGTGCTCCTGGATAATTTTCTCAAAGAGCTTCCCCAGGACCGAGGTAAGACTAATGGGCCTATAGTTACCTGGGTCCTCCTTCCTCCCTTTTTTGACAATGGGAACCACATTGGCCTTTTTCCAGTCCTCTGGCACCACACCACAGCACCATGAGTGCTTGTAAAGCTGTGCCAGGGGCCCTGCGATGACCCCTGCCAATTCCCTCAGCACCCTGGGGTGGAGATTATTTGGACCTGCTGATTTAAACATGTCCAGCTCCACCAGAAGTTCCCTAACTAGGTCCTCTCTGACCCTAGGCCCAGCTGTGCCTCTCCTGGGTCCATCCGGAATCCCGGTGGGGAATGTCCCGGTCCCTGCTCAGAAAAATGGAGGCAAAGGATTTGTTAAAGAGGTCAGCTTTTTCATCTGGTGCAACCACCAGATTGCCAAGCGTGTTCTGCAGCGGCCCCATGTTACGCGGTGCCTCCTTTTTACTCCCTATGTATTTAAAAAAGGACTTCTTTGAGCCTGGTCGCTAGTCCTACTTTTGTCTCTGCCTTAGCTTTCTTAACACCCCCCTACAGTCTCGAGCAATGGAGTTATAATCCTCCTTGGTGATAGCCCCTCCCTTCCATGGGGTGTATGCCTCCTTTTTAGCTTTCAGACTTTCTTGAACGCCCTTGGTGAGCCATGGGGGCTTTTGAGCTGTCTTGTCCCCTTTGATTCGCATTGGGGCTGTCACCCTTTGGGCTCGGAGGATCGTCTCCTTAAGGAATGACCACTCGTCTTGGACTCCCAGCTCCCCTCCCCTCTGGGACCTCAGTGCTTCTCCTACTAATCTCCTTAACTCACTGAAATTGGCTCTCCTGAAGTCCAGGGCTGCTGCCTTGCTGCAGGCCTTTGACACCCTGCGCTGGATGGTGAATCCCAGCAGGCGATGATCGCTGTTACCCAGGTGGTTGAGCACCCGCAGTCCCCTCACCAGGTCATTGCCCGTGGCCAGGACCAGGTCCAGCAAGGCATTTCCCCTGGTGGGACTGTGTACCTCCTGGGTTAGGTGGAGGTCCTGTATCTCGGCTAGGAACCTACATGAGCGGTCAGACCTGGCTGGCTGCTCCTCCCAGCAATGACTACCCTTGACTTAACTGCCTCTGCGAGCTGACCTGAAGATTCCCGGTTCAGCTCTTCCCCCTGGTTGGGGGGCCTGTAGTAGACCCCCACCATTTAAGTCCCTTTCCCCCCAACCCCCTTGTATTCTTACCCAGAGCACTTCAGTCTGTCCTTCCTCTGACCCCGTCTTGTTTGTTAAGGACGTGTATTGCTCTTGCACGTAGAGCGCCACACCCCCACCTTCCCTCCCCATTATATCCCACCTGTACAGTCTGTAGCCCCTAATGTTTACTGCCCAATCATGGGTTGAATCCCACCAGGTTTCAGTGACCCCTACTATGTCCAGTTTCCTGCTAGCTAGCAGGAGGGCAAGTTCCTCCTGCTTGTTCCCCAGACTACGAGCATTAGTGTAGAGGCATTTAAGGCCTCCTATGGGTGCTTGCACCACCCCCTTGATCCTGGGACTATCCGGACCCCTGTCGCTTCTTGTGCTCATCACCTGCCTTGGCTGGGAAGTATCCTTGTGTCCCCCCTGTGGCCCCATCCCCCGGCAAAACTAGTTTAAAGCATGCTGTATGAGATCAGCCAACCTGGAAGAAAAGACACGTAGATGGTAGGAGACTCTGTTGAGTGCTAAGAAACAAAAACACTATTACCAGTGTGCTTTTATGCAATTCATGCACAGGTCTCTGCTTGCATTTGGCTATTCCCTTCCTTTCCTGTTTCATTCCCCACAACTTGGAATTTCTAAAGTACCTGTTCTGCGCTGTGTCGGTATAGGTCGCCTACACAACGTGACTTTCATGACGGGCCCTGTGCTTCTCTTAGTCCAAACCCAGTAAACTCCATGAGCAAACAAGCTTGCAGAGGAGGCTGCATTGACAGAGACTTGGCTTGTTCCCTTTGTAGCAGTGATGTGGCAGGGGATCACAAAACACTGATCTGATCAATACAAATGATACTGGTGATCTAAAAGCCATTTCTTTTAGCCTGAGTGCTAGAAGAGCCAGAGTCTGTCTGGCACTCTTAATGCTATGGATTGCTGGTATGTATGTATGTATGTATTTATTTATTTTTAAATCTTGGCACTAGTCCTCCTGATGTCATACTTGTGATGCAGTGTGACTAGGCAGTCTGAAATTCTGGACAGCAGTGCAGTTGATATTGTTTTATTTCCCACCACACTGTCACCCTGTCCCATGCCTAGCATACTTGCACAAACATCTGTATCTGGAATTAGTTTCTAAAGTCTTGTGTTTTTTAGTTAGCAATGTGTATTTTAGAGTTCAGTATACAAGGAAGCTTTATTAGCCATGTTGATAATCCATGGTATGCCAAAATTATACAATGCTTCTGAGTATTCTGGAGGCGTTTGTGTATATGTGGTTTTTATTTGCTGTGACTTAGTGTGATTTTTTTCAAAGGAAACTTTTTGGATTCTTGGCATGCAGCACTTTAAAGGATCCTGTTGTGCAGAAGGTTTTGAGCCTCCATTCTCTGAAAAGCAGACCTGCTCACTCTGTGTCACTTGGGTGCCTTAAATTCCAGCACCTACGATCCCAGTTGAAGAGTGAGGATTTAGGCCACATTATCAGTTGCAATTTTCAGGGCCTAAAACTGCTGCTGTCATTAGAGATGTGGGCAATGGCTGCCTACTGTTCTGCCAGCTAAAGAAAATACTGATCTACCCCAGTTTTAGTATATGTCATGTTCTGATCTTACCTTTTTCTCTTTCAGCTTTAGCAGGAAGTAATAGCTGCCTCTGGGTCTAAAGTTGGAGTTGGTGGTCTCTCTTGGCTAATAAGGCCAAAGAGACTTGCAGCTTTCTCAATTGTAGTATCTAAATCAGATTTTAGAAGAGCTCATTCCCTGCAAATTCTGCCAGTTTCATGCTAAGCAGGAAAATCAGGCCTCTGTTGTTCACATGTTTGACTTAGAAGAAGGCATCTCTGTTCTGTTTGGAGTAGACCATCCGGTCTGTTGATGCAGCAAACTGCTACCTTCCCTTCAGAAGTGAATAAAAGCAGGTGGGAATGCTGGATACTTGGAGCCCTCCTAAGAAGCTTTGCAGGGTGGTTTAGTGAATAACTGCTGAGAAATTGTCAACTGAAAGGTGGGAGGGATTCCTAAGGCAGTGTTTACGGGTTGTTGTCCTGGAGTGAGGAATCACTCTGCTGTAGATCTGCCAGGTAGATTGCCTGCTTCCAGTGCATGATTATTCAAAGCAGATGGATGGCCGTGGGGAATGGGCTGTTGAGACCAAGGGTCTAACAAGCCTCTCAGCTGCTATTCTCATACCTTACTTTCTTGGTCTTTTGTGGCTTAAAATGCTGACTTGCGGTTTTTTTAGGTCCGCCTTTGAGAAGGGGGTCCCATTTCTGATATATTTTATTAGCTAATGGTTGCATGCTTTCAAAACCATTATGCAAACATCTTGTCTATAACCTCACTACCCTTTGCAATTTTAATATATTAATCCTCGATAAGTACTGTTTATTCTTGTGATGCAGGGAAATGCTACCTGCCAGACTGGGCATTGAGGCACTGAGAAGATGTGGCAAAGCATAGAATTAAACACGGGTCGTTGAGCTCACAGGCTAAAACTCTGATCATGGGACGATTCTTTTACTGTCTCTCCTATAAATCACATGGATGAATACATGCACAAGAGAGGAGTGTGATTATTGGACAGGAAGACGACAATTGCCAATTTGCAACAATACTAAAATAATCTTACTGTTTTGAGAGTACCCAGAAATAGTCTCTCACAGGTATTTCTGTGTCCAGCTGTGTGGCTCCAGCTGTTTGAAGGCTGAAAGCTTCTTGGCAGACTGCACAGTAGTTGAGCTGGACACAACAGTTGTCACTGCGGTGCTTTTAGTGCGATGGAATCTGCAGACTTTGGCATAACGCAGTGGGCCTAGGTCTGCCAGCTTCTTTGTGGTGAAGACGTGGCTTTGCTGGCCCAGGGTCTGTTTTATTCTTGTGATGCAGGGAAATGCTACCTGACAGACTGGGAGTCTGCTTGCCAATGTAGGATCTAATAACAAATCTAAGGTCTAAGCATTGCGTATTCATCTTGGTTATTTAGCTGTAAACATGGTGCCGTACCTGCCTTGATGTACCTCCGCAGAACTTGCACAAACAAAGATGTCCAGTGGTTGAACTCCTTATCTTTTGGGTGTTCAATCTGGGGCACCTTTTAAAGGAGGGACATTTTTTTTTTCTCTCAAGGTAGCACCGTCTAGACACTGGTATTGCATGTTGGACACCTGAAAAGAGATGTGGCTGTTAGAAATTCAAGTCATAGTAATTTGAACTGCTAGGCAACTGGAAAAACTAAGCTATATTCTGGAGCCTTCCACAGTCTTAATGGAGACATGGTGATTTCTAAACTAACAGAAAGTGATCCCTAAACTAAAGGGAAAACTAACAGGAACCACCATGAGGTATTTGCAGAGAAGTTAATTGATCTTGATTTTTATAGTCTTCATCATCTTCCCCCCCCCCCC